TAATCCACTTTCTAAACCTTCTAATTTTAATCTAGGGTAAAAAATAACACCGAAACGATTCAACATGTGTAATTTAGACCAATATTTTTTAAACTTCTTTTCCATAGAGGCGATAGGAACTCCTAAAACCTCATGTTTCCTAAATTCACTAAATAAAATAGACATTTTTAAAAGTTCTCCTAACGCTAATGGTGAAGTTGGGTAATAAGTTCCACTAAGCTTTAAGGTAACTTCGTGGAATCTACCTAAAAGGTTATACAAAAGTTTGGCAATTTGCCAATCAATTTCATCTATAAATTCTGTTCATAATTTTGCACTAACATAATTTGTTATATCATCTTTATAGGGGATGCATTATTCAAGCATTATGTAAGTGGAGTTCCATCTTATGGGCATATCTAAGGCTAATGCTCTAGGATTTTGATTACATGCTTGTAGAAATCTAAACCAATCTTGTATTCTTTAATTACTACCTTGAACCTAAGCAATGTTATCTCTAATTCTTTTAATATGACCTGACATTGATTTTAAACTAGACTTTACTATTAAATTAATTATATGACATGCACAACGTTGGTGGAAAATATCATTATTACTGAATTAATTTAAATCATTTTCAAAAGTTCTATTGCTTTAGTATTCGCAGTTGCATTATCGAATGTTACGGCCATTATTCTATCTCTTAAACTATATTCATCAATAATAGATAAAATTGTGTTATATATTAAATTGGCAGTATGTGATCCTATAACACATTTGAAACCTAAGATTCTCTTATCCAAATCAAAACCTTTATAATAATGTTCGGTTACAGCTAAATAATCCCTGTTGGCAACAGCGGACCAAATATCCGCCGTTAATGCAACGCAACCACTAGTAGAGTGTAGAAGGTTGATTAATACTTCCTTTTCTTGTTTATATAATTTTAATGCATCTTTCCTAAGAGTAGTTCTAGAAAAAAATTGTGCATTAGGATTATGTACAATTTTAATATAACGTTGCCAATTTCTTTGTTCAGTAAAACTTAGTGGTTGATCTAATGTGGCTATTAATCGTGCCATTTCCATACGATCAACTTGCGGATCGTATTTTCACGTGCTTAGACTGCCAGTTTGACGGTCAAACGATAATTGCATTTGGCGGAGATCAGCTCCGCCTCCTTACTTTTGAAGACACTTTTCAGAGTGTCTGCTTAAGTGTGTAGTGTCGTGAATAGTGTTACCTTGTAATTTCTCACCCCAATATTTACATTGAGCTATGTCTTTAATGTTACCATTATTGTCGACCTCCTCGAATGTGTTGAAGTGCTCCCAAACTGCTGAGGTGCGCTTGCATTTCTTCTTAGAACTTGCAACACTTGTACTAGCACTACCGCTTGCCTCTTCTCCACGGCCACTTGTGCCACCACCATTACGTCCCCGACCTCTAGTACGTCCACTAGGGGTCAGATTTGCAGTTTCATCAGCAACTCTTTTCATAGTTTGCGATTCTTGCGTTTGAAAAACATTAGGAAATTGCCCTTCTTCGATGTTAAATTGGGCATCAATGGGAATATCACCACCATAACCAGAAGAAGCCATTATGAAAAATAAAAGAGATTGAGAGCGCTTTGAGAGAGCTTAAGAGAGATCGAGATTCGAGAGAGATTTAAGCGAGATTAAGAGAGATTTGAGAGAGATTAAGAGAAATTGAGAGAGTTGAGAGAGAATGAGAGTTTTTGGGTGAGGAAAATGGTTGGGAGGTATTTATAGGAAAATTTTTGGGTTGAAAAGAAAATTTTTCCCCCCAAAAATTCGGGTCCAACGGCTACTATATTTTCGGGCAATTCGGGCAAAAATCGGACAGGTCGGGCAACGGTAAGAAATCCGATCATTGGGTTCAAATTTTTGGGCAAAATTCGGGTTCGGGTAAAAAGACCCGTTTTTGTTCAAAATTCAGGCATTTTTCAAGCTAACGGTCAAAAAAAGCGGGCATTTTTTGGGCAACGGGCAAAATTCGGACAACGGTAAAAAAAAATCGGGCAAAAATTGGACAACTTCGGGTATTGCCGGAAAATTCAAAAAAATTCCAGTGAACGGCAGGGGACAACTTCTCCATGGCAGCGGGCTATTGGGGGGATTATATTTTCGGGCTACCCGAGCCCGTGTCCGAAAAAACTGTGGTCGGGCAGCGAGAGGGCCCTGCCCGCCGTGCCCGAAAATTTCCGGGCACTGGACATGCCCGCCGCCCGAAGTTTCAGCAGTGACCAAGACCAACATCAATTCACCCACAAACACCATACCCAAAAAATTTAGGCGCAATGTTAGATATACTTACTAATTTATATTATTTATAAGTAAAAAACAATACTTATAATTTCAAATATATAACTTAAGATATTTCTGCCTTTTCAGTTCTCAAGCAAAACAAGCTGAGCAATCTAGAAAACGCCCAAGAACTAGGTAATGTAACTACTCCTAAATCAAAACATTTCTAATTTCATTAATTATTAATACTAATTTGTTAAAAATTTACTTCTTGCAGCTAAAAACACAACGCCAAAAATTGATAAAACAAGCTGGAATAGAATATGAAGAAATCTTTGTTACTTCATTATATATACTTATGTATATACATATGTATATATAAATTACTTTTATTTTTGTATGCTGGAACATAATGTAAAGAAAACTTTGTTACTTCATTATATATACTTATGTATATACATAGGTACATATAAACTACTTTTGTTTTTGTATAATATAAAAATACTACCCACGCCAAGGCGCGGGTTACCGACTAGTAAAATCTAAATTCAAAAAATCCTCTTTCATTTTAGAATTCCATTTCTGATTCTTTCCTTTTCTAGATCCATTTTCTCAATTTTTTATTTCTTGTACAATCTTTAAGAGAAACTTAATTAAACCAATACCGTACTGTATAATAATTAGTTTGACTAGTTTGAACTATATACGAGTAAGAAATTGTAACTTTTTTTTTTTTTGATAGAGTAAGAAATTGTAACTTCAATTTTTGCTAATCACTATAATTGGAACTTTTGAAGTTCAACATAATAAATCTATTTATACGATTTTGGATTTGAAACAGATACCTGCATAGAAATAGAATAGATCCAGTTAAATTATAGAGAATTTGCAGTTCTATCATTTATCTTGCGTTCCAATTTTTACGCCAAATGGTCAATCTCTTACATTTCAATTCATATTTCTCTCATTTTCAAGGAATTTGCCTGTTACAACCGCATAGGCAACGAAATGTTATTATAAAACATAAAGTAAAATAGGAAATTTCTTTCGTTTTCGGTTTTTTTTTTTTTTTTTTTTTTGAAGAAAAATTTCTTTCCTTTTGCAAGTGAGGAACGTTAATGCATCTGTTAAAAAAAAAATGAATATACTGTTGATTAAATCTGTAAATGCTCATTCTAAAAATAAAATAAAATAAAAACTGTAAATGCTCAAATAAAATACCCAATGAACCGTTCTATTAACAATTCGTATGACTAGTGCTAGAAAAAAAAAATGGTATGCCGGAGTTAGCATTGATTCATGGTATAATAGAAACGATCAATGAGTAGTTTATACTGGAAGATTAACAATCGTTTCCTTTACAAATTCGTCGATCATATATTGTCATATGTATAGAGATCAATTAATCTATATTTTAAGATGTGCAAAAAGGAGAAAAGAAAATCGGTTAATATTCTAAATATAATGTATACAAAATTAAGAGAAAAAGAAAATCTTTGTAATTAACGCTTAAGATTAACAAGTTGCTTAACCTGCTATAGCAAGTCATATAATTGCCGCATCATCATTATAAATAAGATATCCATTTTTTTCTATAATTTAATCAGTAACTATCGATGAAAACGTAACTATTGAAAACTCGTCTATACATAAATAGTCTTGGGCTTTTGGTTCAACTATCATTATATATAATATAATTTTTTTATATTATTGACGAAGTAATTAATTGGTTATATTTATTCATAATTGCACCTCTATGCTCGGAGATGTGAAAGTTATATATGTTCAAGTTTAACTCCAGTTATAATTATATACTTGCATGATAAGAAACAATATTTAAGATATAATATTATTCTTTTAAACCATTAATTTCAGAGAAAATTTTTTGCAAACAAACAAACAAACAAATAAATGAAAAATAAAAACACATTTATAATTAAAAAAAATCAGAGTAAGGAAATAGGATGCAACACAAAACCGTGTTATATTCGTTGAGTGTCGCATGGAGTTTGTTAGTTGACTTGCTAAGAGGGATCGGTTTCATTGAGAAAAAAAAAAAAAAAAAAAGAGAAAAAAGACTAGGAACGCAAAGAAAGAAAAGTATTGCTGTAATTGCAATTTGCAAGATAGTCGGTGGTGGGAATATTATTCTAGAAATAGAATATATAAGACAGAAAATGTAAACAAAAAGTCCTCTTGAAGCATCTACGGCGAATTTTGAGGGCCAAAAACTTGTACATGTTTCTATATAATCACATGCACCGAGCTTATTACGAAAGACACAAAATACAGTTGACTTTGCCTAGCCTCAGCATTTCCAAAATACAGTTGACTTTGCCTAGCCTAAGCATTTCCAAAATAAAGAGTTATTCTAATGTCATATGATCATCTAACACACTAAATATGATAACACACTAAAATAAAGATTTTTTTTTTATTAATTTTACCCAATACTGAATAGGGCTACTTGTGATAACTTATTATTGCTTAATCAGAGTCACATTTACAAGCGCCAAAGTATTAATTGACCAAAATTAACAATTCCGCAATGTATTCAACAATCCAACGTACCCCCAAATTTCTCTATCGAATCTATAAACCATACACATATATACAAATTAATATATATATATATATATATATTAACAGCCCCAAAGTCCACGGCTTTGATACTATAAAAAGAGACATGGAATGGGCATTTGGGCATGGCCATTATTTTCTAATCCATTTCTTTGAAAGTGACGAAAGGAAACGATGGAGATTAACGTAAGCCGAAGTTGTTTGGCCATCTTTCTTATGCTCTTTGTGTCGGGTTTGACACAAATCCGAGCCTCGGACACCATAGCCTGCTACGGCAAAAACAGCAAATGCTCTAAGAAGAAGATT